CACATCTTGATGAAAAATGACCCTTGGCACTTGATTTTGACCAAAAAGTCAAAGTTTGACTTTTCAGTGTACAGTCATATTTTGATCAGTTGACTGAAAAATTCATTTGTCAATCCAATGCAATTGAGATCTTCTGAGCCTTGTGAATAGGTCAAGATGATGCCATTGAGTCCTTAAATCCATGCTTGAACCCATTTTTCCATTGGCTAGGTCAAAATTCAGAAATTGCCCTTGTGCAGTCAAAACCCTAAAAATGACCATTTTGCCCTTTTGATGATCTGATCAAATTTCTTGAGGAGTTGTGGTCCAAAATTGATCAAATGGTTCATATGAGTCTATAATGTTGATATGGATAAAAAATTATGAGGTTTGACTATAAATTGGCCACAATTGACTTTTTTCCCAATACAGTTGATTTCTAAGTCAACTGTCCAATTGACTGGGTAAAAATTTGATTCAAGGCTTGAAACTTGGTATGGACAAACTTATGAGTCCAACTTGAAGTATGAAAGTCACTTTGAGCATTAGAAGTCCAAAAATCCATGTGCAAACTCAAACCCTAATTTAGGTCATCAGTGTAAGGAGATGTCTTGAGCAGAGCAAAACCCTAATCCTGTCTGGAGTTCAAAGAGCCTTGTGAGGGGAGATCTTGATAAAATGAGAGGGAAAATTTTAGGGTACAACAACAGGCAATATGTTGTGACCTATGGCTATTAGGTGTAGCTGTCTATGCTTCTGTTGAGTCTATGTGGTTCTAGTCAGGAGAAGCTAGTATACTCTTTTTTCTCCAAGGATTGAGCTTAAGGTCAAGGCACTGACCTAACCTGGAATGTTTTGGCTGTCATGATTGGATGTCTTATCGAAGATTCATCAAGTATCACAGGTGTGAAGAAGAAAGCTGTAAGTTTTACCTAGTGTGAGAAGCTTACTACAGAATATAGTGAGAGAATATTCCTGTTGTATGGTTAATCTGAAGATGAGTCATTGTAAGATCCTCTTGTGAGAATGGGGAGTTTGTTAAAGGTCATGTATGGAAATAAGTCCCTTGGATGATGTTTCTAGAACCAAAGCAGATAAGCTCTGTGGTAATGTTGTTGATGTCTCAAATGATGTTGGAACATCATTTTTGATGATAGTCTACTAAAGATACTTGGAACTATGAATCTCAATATTCAAACTCCACACTCATTAGTGGCAGTTCTATCTATGGTGTTGAATAAGGAGATTCTAATTGAAGGAGAAGTATAATCAAGTAATGTATAACTACTTTCTTGTTTTGAAGACTTTACTAGTGTCGGCAAATACTAGTAATATGCAGAAGGAGGATTTAATCAACACGTTGGTTAAGGGGTACTCCTTTTGTTGGAGAGTTTGGATATTAGTAAAGCTTTTAAGCACACTAAGAAATGGTTGGAAGTTGGTTTCAGACTATGGTTGCATGACATCTTAGCCATCCAAAGAGTCATGATAATATGTGTGAAGGTGCAAGGGCATGAATTAGAGGAGGAGTAAGTGGACTAATTGGTTTGTTTGGAGCTTGTGATGTTCAAATATATAGAGTTATTTACCTACAATGAAGATGGTGTTGGATAACATGCTAAGACATGTTGCTACAAGATGTAGCTTTTTATATCCTTATGAGTCTCTGAATACTCTAGCCAAATGTTGCTAGAGTATACCATCCTTCTCCAAGAGGATGTGTTGGTTCTGCAAGAATTTAGTTTTCTCTGCAGCAGTGAATGGGATAAAGAAGACTATCCTGCTGACTGTTAGGAGATGTCACATCCTCTGCCAAGAGTATCAAGAAGAAGACTATGTATAGTCCCCCAAAGCTCTAGAGTAAATAATTTCCTCCCTCCAACAAAAGAAAAGTTAGACCTGATATCTCCTCAGATGATGATGAGGATGATGTCCAGGACATCTCTCCTTTGAAGAAGTCTGCAAGCAAGAAGCTTTCTGTCAGGGTGCCTAATGCTCCACTTGACAACTTTTCCTTCCATTCTATTGGCAATGCTGAAAAGTGGAAATATGTGTTTCAAAGAAGAATTGCCCTTGAAAGAGAATTGGGAGCAGGTGCACTAGAGTGCAAAGAGATTATGAAGTTGATTTCTTTTGCTGACTTGTGTTGATCACAGAAGTAAGGAATATAGGGAGGTGTTTGTGTTGAATTATCTGGGCAGGTCTGAAGATGATTACTGTGGGTTGGAAGTGACTGATAATCAGGTGTGCAAAGCCATTACAGCAAACTAGACTGTAAAGCATGTAGGAACCTGTTCACCGGATATGTGTTCTAATGGGAGCTTCTTAAAGGATTTCTATATACAATAAGTCCTTTAAATGATTGATCAAGAACCAATTTGATTAGGTTATCTATTATTGAATTGATGTACCACATGATGTCTTAACATCATGATTGTTGATGGTTGTTTTGTTTAATGCTTGGGATTGTTCATGTGAAGTTGGAAGCTTAAGAACTATTATGAGAATTGGCATTTCTGACTATGTGGATTAGAATATGGAGAGTCTAATCTTGTCTACAGTAGCATGCTTGATGAATGCATTACTCCCTTGTTGAAGACTCCACTAGTAATCGTAACTACTAGTGGATATAAAGGCACAAGGCTACTGACAGATACTGAGGTCTGAGCAGAGCATCTTGAAGTGGTATTTTTTTGCTACAAGTCACTCCAGAAAAGGTTTGGTGATCTGGATATTAGTAAATCTTTTAAGTAAACTAAAAGTTTTTGGAGTTTGTGAGTGACTTCGTACCTAGTATGTATGACATCTTGCCTATTTAAAAGGTCATGATACAAAGTGTGGTTATGAAAAGACAATGATCGAATGTGTCCTTGTGTTGTGAAGAAGTCAGGGTTCCTGGAAGTATTCTCAAGGAATGAGAATATATGACTCTGGTTTGACTCTACGGAGGGAGTCAAGGTTCAGCATATGCATAAAGTGCTGCAGTTTCTCATCTAGTGCACAAGTCTTCATCTTCAGCTGGAGAATTAGTTACTCATAACAAAGGGAGTCATGTGGATATTTGTAAATTGTTGCTGCAATGATACATGTATTATCAAGCAAGAATATTGTTCACTTTTGTAAAGGTTCTATGAGGAAATGATGTTGAAACAACATGTTGTGACATTATAAAGTTATGGATAAACTTAATAAGACATGGTTGTTTCTAACTATGAGAAGCTTAGTGAATATCAAAAGTTCACATATCTCTTAGAAATTTAATGGGAAGTCTGGGAGAATTTATTTTTCTCTATAGATTTCTAAAAGACTCCTTGAGGGTCTATATTATGAAGAGGTGTCACAAATGTGATATTTTGATATATTAGTATATGTCACTAAGTCTAAGTGAAAGAAGAACACTTAGAATCCAGTATGAACATGTAGTTAATCTGGTGAAGCATTCCTGATTGGTGAGAGAAGATGTATTGATCACTGAAATAAGAAAGCAATGTCTGACTAAGTGTCAGTAAATTATATAAATATATTCTCTTTAACTAAATTAAACATTAAAGAGATTTATGATGCAATTGGTAATATTATTATTACAACCCTAACCATTTATTTATTTATTACTAATTATCAAAATTTGACAAAAAAAATACTTTTTTCTAATTTTGACATTATTTACTTATTACAAATAATTAAAATAATTATAATTACTAATTAAATTAAATTTTAAAATAGGTGCACCAAAATTTCTAAAAAATAAATATAAAGGTTTCAAAATTATAATTAATATACAAAAAAAAAAGATAAAAAGATTAACACGCCAGATCAAGAAATCCACAGTTCACTGGTTTGACCAAACCAGTGAACTAGTTGGATAACACCGATTTTTATTGAGTCAATTGCAATTATAGTATAATGATTTTACTGAACCGCTCTATCCTTTATTTCACGATTTAACTTATTCGATTGATTGAATGGTTTGGGTTTTAAAATATTAAATATTTTATGATTTAATTTTTCTTTATTTTAATTTTTAACTAGTATAAGACTCGTCCGATAAAAACGTTAATAAGTTAAGTTCTCTATTTGTAATGTAAAATAAGTTAGTAAAAAAAATGTGGGTATGTTATATTATAGACATTGGGTAGGGTATACACAGGTGTGTTTTGATTGTGTTTTGCCTAATCCATTACGCAAACCGTTTATACTTTAAAGAATTAGATTTATTGTCTAACCCACAGTTTTATGATTAAAACCAAATCAATCCGACCCATGGGTTCTGTTTCATATAAAAAACAATTTTTATAGTCTTTTTTTTCTAGTTATAAAATTTTATAACACAATTTAATATGATTACACTTATTTATAATATTCAATTTTGGATAAAATACAATATATATAATGTCCAATAGTGATTAGGAGTGAAATATTAATTTTATTATTTTCCTTTAAAATAATAATAAGTTATAAGAAATTACTGTCAAATCAATGAGTCGAGAAATTCAAATTTGATCCCTTAATAAAAAGTATACAAATTATTGCGGGTTGGATTGGATATACGCGTGAATAAATATTAAAATTATTTTGTAAAAGTTTCGGTTTTGAAATGGTCTCTTATCGGTGATATTATTAATCTTAAATATAATTCTCTGTAATACTCATCGTAGGTGTAATTGATGAGTAATTTTTCTTTTATCAAGTGTTCAACTCGTGCTTTTGTAATCGAAATTGAAAACTCTTAATTTTCTTATCAATACATCTTACTTACCAAAAAAAAATACATGTAATTAAATGAGTTTGAATAATTTATAAGTTTTTTTAATTTGAATAAAGAGATTCGCATAATGATCCACACCCATGAATACTTTCCGTCATTGGGTGTCTTCTTTTGACAGCAAAATAAAATAAATAATTTTCAATTTGTGATTGAACGATGCATTCTAAAACAAAAATTTATTTATTTATTTATAACTTATTTTAATAGTTGCCATATAGATAGTATTTGTACATTAATTTGTACAAAGACATATATGCTATTCTCCGCAGCAACATTGGTCTCCTTGACAGGTGCCACCAAAAATGAAACCCATGTTTGCACAAAGTAAAATGCATCCTGTAGGACGTTCTCGAGTTGGACACACATTAGGTGCTTTCAAACAGTGAACTCTATTAGATCTTCCTTTTATTCCAACCACTTCATATGTGCCTACAATTGTATATAAAAATTAATACCAGAGTTATATAAAAAATTAAAGAATTATCGTATCATGGGCTAATAAATATTTTTCAAGATTATATTACGCATTTAAATAAAATAAAATAAAAATTATTGCCATTGATTTGAAAGATATTTTTTGTGCTTTAACAATTGTCAATTTTAATTACAACATCATAAAATAAAATAGTATTCTCATAAACTGTTTTTTTTATATATATATATATATATATTTTGATAGACATACAATTATATGATAAATTATTTGACATCAAAAATTAAATCAAATCAACATAGGAAAATACCATTTTATTTTATGATTTCATTTTTCTTAATTTCATTTCTTAATGTTAAATTAATGAATTAATTTAGTAAATAATAATAATAATAAAAAATTCATCTAATTTCAACATAAAATATAATCTCTCAGATCCTTTTATAAAAGACAATTGAATCAACAAAAAATATTGTATTTAATTCATGAATTAAATCAAATTCATAAAAAAAATTCAAATACATCAAATGTTGATTCTATTATCTCTCATATAAAAAATTAAATCAAACTAACATAGGAAAATAACATGTAAATTCAATGATACCTTGAGCCAAAACGGAAATGATACACACAATTGCAATGAAAAGATACAAATGATTGATACGGGTAGCCATGTTTTCACTTCTCAATGAAAATCAACAAACATGCAAGGGCTATTTATTGACACAAGTTGGGAAATTAATAATTATGGAAATCAATTAAACAAAAAGTTAAATCAGCATATATTATCTTATTAGTTTCTTTCGGTCAAAAAGAAATATTTTTAAAAATTTAAAACTTGGACGGGTCATCTACCTGTCAAACGATTGGATTACTGATGGGACTATTAAGATATCGGTTGGATTGCGTGATTTTTAGTTTAATTTATACCAATTAAAAAATATTTATGAAATAAATCTTTGACATAAATTTCATAACCATTAAAAAAAACTTTCAGTTGTGTTCTCATCACAACGTGAAAAATCATGTCATAATCATTAATATGCGACGTGAACAATCACGTGATTGGAGAGCGGATGAAAAATTTATTGCGATGTGATTTTTCTGTCACAAAATTGTGACGTGAAAATTACGTCGCAATTTACTTACACAAAAATTTGAACATTGCAGTGGAAGCAAGCGTAGCAGGCCAGACAGTCAGAGCAACACTTTATTTGTCACGTGATTTTCATCTCACTAATTTATAACGTAAAAAACATATCACTAGTTAATTACATTTCACAATACAACGTTCTATTCAACTTTTATTTTCTTAATAAAAAAAATTAAGTTGCGACGTGATTTATCACAACTTTGTGACATAAAAATCACGTCACAATTTTTTTTTTTATAAATAATTTAATTGCTGAAATTTATTTTTATAATTAATTAATAAATTTAATATATAAATTAGTAAATTAGATAAATTTAATATAATAAAATTAATAAATTAAAATTATAAGGATTATAAATCAGAAAATTTGTGAGCAATGTCTGATAATCCTCCTACACATTCAATAAAAAATTAAGTTAAATATATATTAAATTAAATTAAATTATATAAAATTAAATTATATTAAAAAGTTACCATGTGATTTTCACGCTATAACTTCTCAATTGCCACGTGATTTTCACGTCACAAAATTATCATTAAATTAAAAATATATATATAAACAACATAAATTAAATACGTTCGTCAACAAAGTCCACCATTTTCTTTGTCCAACTATTTTTAACCAGCTCAATCATCACTGGTGGTCTCCCCAAAGTCTTAGTCTAAATAATAAAATTAACTTTAATTAACAAAATATATTATGAATCAAAATATAACTTAAAAAGTGATAATATTTATCATGGGTCTGTACTTATTCTTCCAACTGCATTAATGCAACCCCTTTTTCAGATACTCTCATCTTCTTAAAATTTTCTGATTTAGTCTGAAATTCTGGGTGATGATGATAGGGATGAGGATGATGATGAATATAATAAAAATATTGAATATATATATTAACCATAATTTTTTTAGCTAACATATTATTCTTTTAAGAAATATAAAATATAATTATATTCTGTTTTATTTTATTTTAAATATATATATATATATATATATATATATATATATATATATATATATATATATATATATATATATATATATATATATATATATATATATATATATATATATATATATATATATATATATATATATATATATATAAACTGAATAAAAGTAAAAGTAATATTATATATATTTAATTTATATATAAAAATTAAAATAGTAATAAATCAATTTATAAACAGAATAAAAAAATCATAATAATATTTTAAACAGAATAAAATCTAAGTTATATATAAAATAAAATATAAAATAAAAATTGCATAAATACTTCTTCTTCAATCTCCTTCAATCAATCTTCTTCTTCCATCTTTTTCTAAACTCTTCAATATTCTTCAATTTGGACAAAACAATTTAAACCAAAATTTTAATTATAAAATAAAATAAACAATAAAAAAAATTATATAAATATAATGAATTTAAATTATATAAAATAATTACCTATATCAATAAAATTGCAGAATTTAAAAAAATTTGGAGAAGATTTACGAAGAGGTTGAACAATTAAGAAAAGGGAGAAGAGAATGAAGGAAAGAGAGAAGGAAACGAAGAAGCAGAAGGGGGAAGGATATGAATTGGTGAACAAGATTGTTAAGTATATACGTCACGTAACGACGTGAAAATCATGTCACAACCTTGTCACGTGAGATTCATGTCACAACACATGCAACAGTCAAAAATATTATTCGTTCAGTCTACACAACTCTAAACCAAGTCAATTCCTAGTGAGATATTTTTCCCTCAAATATTGCGACGTGATAATTATGTCACAACTAAATTATTTAAATTTTTTAAAATTCCCTCAGTCTGAACGTTAGAGCCCTTTTTATATTAACTTTTTAATTGCGACGTGAATTCCACGTCGTAAATATTTTTATTTCAAAAAAAATTGAGTCCCACCATATTAACGTTATCTTTATTTTTTTTAATATTAAAAAATTTATAACGTGATTATTACGTCGCAATAATTTTTTTTCAACCACGTGATAATCACGTCACAACTTCGTGTCGTCGGAAAGAATTTTTCTTATAATAAACTATGAATTAAAAAAAAACAAAGTTCTATGAATTTATTTATGCCATATAAGTCAAATAACAAATATTAAATAAAGTTTCAACTTCTAAAATTAATAATTTGTTGGTGCTCATAAATTAACAAAAGTTTGAAAAGTAATTGTAGGATATAATAATATAATAAACTAATAAATTAATATAGAACATAAACAAATATTATGTTCTATATAAATAATTAATAATAAAAAATAGAAAATGAATAAAATCTGCAAATAAAAAAGTTAGTAAAAATAAAGTGACTTTTATTAAAAATAATAATGTGATCTATACTGAGAGAAATGTGAAAACTAATTCCCTTTTCTATTGTTTACATAATTTTTTTTTTGTTTAAATAATAAAATTGATAATTAAAATAATACGAAAATATAATTCCATTTTTTTATAACATGATTTTAAAAAAAAAATTTTTGTTAATTTTTGTATTATTATATTATATAATTACTTTTCTAACTTTTTAAATTTATAAATTATTATATTATATGATTAATAATAAATAAGTTGGTAATACTTTTTAAATATAAATTATTATATTGTATGATTTATAAATTTTCTAACTTGTTAGTATTATTATATTGTATGCATTAGAAATAATTGTTGTAATTATAAACTATATTAAATTCTTTATTTTAATCAAATTTAATATCAAAGAGATTTACGGTGCAGTGATAATATTACGATCCTAATTGTTTTAAAAAGTTAAAGATCATTGTTTTAAAAGTTTAGAGATCAGATTCTCAAAATTTGACTAAAATTGTTTTTTTCTTCTAATTTTGATATTATTTAATTATTATAAATAATTAAATTAATTATAAATACAAATAAAATTTAATTTTAAAACACGTGCACCAAAATTTAAGAAAAATAAATATAAGCTTATCAAAATTATAATTAATCTAAAAAATAAAGATAAAAATATTAACACGACAGATTAAAAAATTTACTGGTTCACTGGTATGACTAGTGAATTAGGTGGGCCTCGCAGATATTTAACGGGTCAATTGCAATTATAATCTGACCAATGGACTAGTTGGGCCATGCTGGTATTGAACGGATTAATATCTGATGATCTTATCAGACTGTTCCACCCTTTGATTCACAGTCTAATTGATTTGAGTGATCGAACAATACAAATTTTAAAGCATTGAGTTTTTTTATTTAATTTTTATTTCTTTTTATAAAAAATTTTAATGATAAGTTTATGAACTAATTTGGTAAAAGTAATAATAAATTCATTAAGTTTTAAAATAAAATATAATTTCTCTTGTCCTTTTTTAAAAGAAAATTGAGTCAACAAAAATCATTGTATTTAATTCATATGTTAGACTAAATACATAAAATAAATCAAATACCTCAAATTTTGTTGATTCTAATATCTCTTATAAAAATATTTGTGTAGTACTATACCAACATTTTATTTTAATATTTAATAGATTTAATATCCAATAAGACTATTAATTAATACACATAAAATTTTTACACGTTCATTCAAAAAATCAACAATTTGTTATACCATAAAAATAACTTTAAATTTTAAATGTGATTTGACATAATACACATTGATGATTCGGTTATAGTATAAAGTTATTTTATATTAATAATACATATTCTATTTTCTCATTTATTAATTTAAAAGTAAAATAAATTTTATAAGATAAATTATTTGATACCCATGAATTTAAGTTGGATATGATAGATTTTGAACAAATTGCTTTAAAATTTTAAATTAAAAAAAAAATAAAACAAAAAAGTTATATGATATTAAATTCAAAGATATCAAGTATTCTGCTTTGATAAATTCGGTTAGGTCTCTGATTTTATGGTTGACAATAATTTTAGTAAAACAAGTAGTTGGCAACAATTTGATCAAAACATGTTTCATTTGGAAAACATGTATCACATCTTAATATTAAGCAAGATGTCATAATATTTTGACCAGCTGGTACCATAGGATTTGGTGGTATTATATTTGAGAGATGTTATATCAGATGTTGTAACATGTTGTAACATAACATCATTACAGTACAACTGAATGATATCCTTGAAGATTTGATTTAAATATATGAGTTTCTGGAAGATTCTAGTACTCATACAGGCCCAGACAATCAATGATTTTTTAGAAACAAGTGCATATTTGATTAGTTTCATAAAAAGGATCTTTGAGACTTTTTGGGAAATATTTATGAGATTTGTTTCTATTTTTATAGAGAAGATTCTGCAGGGATTTTGGAGTTGCTGATTGGATTTGATTGAAGAGTTCAAGCCCACTGCATAAGTTTATTTAAGGGGACGCTAAAGACCTACTTTTTAAGCATTCTTTTTTTAAATTAAGTGTGCAAAAATAAGGGTTTAGGGTTTGAGAGTTCCTTAGGTTTTTGTATGTTCTCACGTATTTTTTGATGCATCGAGTTTGACTGATTGTTACTTGTTTATCAAGTTATTATT